ACGCCAGGCAAACATGGAGGATGGAAATGGAGAAGGGGAGGAGGGGCTCAGACATGGATAAACGCGGACCTATCGTGAACACAAACTCGATTCTCTTAACATTATCTCTTTAGTGTGTTTTGTGGGATTATCATTTGGAAAAAATAAATGCTTGATGCGATGTCCTCTATTTGACCTTCAGTGTCATATGAGGCAGAATCAGTCACTGTTCAAGTGTAATGTTAGTCGTGTATTGCCAATCAAACAGTTTTGATCTGACGACCAATCAGAGGATCTAAAATGTTGACGTCAGGATGAATTTGAAATATGATTGGTTGAAGTTACATTGGTCAAGCAATACTGGGCAGATTGGATTGACATAGCAACACACAGGATGAAATCTGACTGGGTCAAAAACCATTCATGAGCATCGGAAGCAGCCCAGCCAAGAGAAACACGATAAAATGAAGGAAAATAGACAGCTGGGTTGTAAACGGACTGTAAGAAAGAAAGCCTTGCTGGTTCTGACAGCGAACCAATTAATTAGGGTCCATGACACACTTAAAGGGGCCCTAAATATTGCGCCAATCGCATTTGCATGGCCCCTAACGCTAAAAGACTGCATGCTAACGATGAAGCTGAAATCGAGACATAATGAAGTGGATCGATCGTTCAATTGAAGGAGAAAGGAGAAGGCGGCCATATTATAGCAGTTGACAGCCCACCGGGGAGCCGTGCATTCGCACGCACCCACATACGCGCGCCGCGTTGACAATTCAAAAGGCAGGATGAGTTCATATAAAAATCAGCAGTAAAAGATGACATTCTTCATTCCCTCTGAGTCGTTTTCATCAAAGCGTCAGCCGTTATGCTAAATTATTCAAATGGTAACGGCTGGCAACAAAGCCATGATGTAACGCGGGCGGGTGGCGAAAAGGGAACAAATGGCGCGAGCAGCGCAAGGAAAGGAGGCGCGCACGCGCCATTGATTGCAGTGCGCGTACATGGGAGTCAAGGTTTAGTCGGCTTCCTTGCCTTGCGTGTGCACTAAACACACAGATGTGAGGTGGAAACAAAAATAACCTGCAACCGCAGTGTTCCTGGTTGTGATGAATTTCATACAAAAAATGTCTCCAGTCGTCCTCTTTTTTTTCTCGCAAACGGCTCCCCAAAAGATCAATACGGTTTCAGTCGAGGTAGGTCTTGACAGTGATGTAGGGAGGAATTTTACACCGCTCCTGTTGTTTTGTTGTCAGGTTACATCACTAAGAATTGGACACATATTGCAACTGGAGGCTAAATAGCACCCAAGTCGGACAACTAGCCGCGCCTGCAGATTAATAGACTACCAATTGGCAGCACACTATTTAGCATTAATGAGCCTGTGACTTTAAGACACAGCATTGAGTGCGCCTCATTCATAATGAAGAGCTGTGGTCCTACAGACTGCATCGTTATTATCTTTGAAAGAAGCCGAGGCTAACTGGGATGCTAACATGTTAGCATGAGACCATCATGGCAAACAACAGACTCCAATTGGTGTTGTTACCATGCAAATGTTGCTCCGACTTGATAGCCATTATGTGGACTGGGACTTCGGGCTTGCGCGGCCTCAGTAGAGTGCCTCATTGTTTGTGGGCAGTGTGTGCAACTCACTGAGGGAGATGCATTTATTTTCACTCACTTTACAGGGGCTTTAAAATGTGGCCATTTTAGCTGTGTGAGGAAGGGAAGGGCTGCGCTATTTCCACCAAGCACATCGAAGCAGATGCATCAATATTACTTACATGGATGTTGACCTTTAACCAAGACATTTTCCAGGGTCCAAGCCCGGCTGGTGCCGATGGCGTCGCTCCAGGGCCTTGCTGACACATTTTGGGTTTTTGTTTGCGATACAGTTTTTGTTCCTAAATTTGCTCCAGTTTGAACAATCACATTAAAAAAAAAACAAAACAAAAAAAAACTCGTTTGTCTATACATAAACTGCGATTGATGGGCGTCCAGTCAAGGACGTGCAACCCCTCTCGACCAAAGTCAGCTGATGAAGTGCAGGAGGTAGGAACGGGGCTGCAACTTATGCCAGAGAAATGTACAATTACACAAAGCTCACTGTGGCCATGGAAAGCTCGAAATAGCACAAATGATGCGGCACACTGGGAGATTTACGGAGCCTGCAGCTGCCACCTTCCTCAAAGCTGGCGGGGAGTGCCAGAGTCAGCCAGGCCCAGGCAAAGGGCTCCTTACTGGGACGCTAAAAGGATCAAAAGGCCCCCGACCGGAGGACTAAAAGTACAAACTCTAAAGTACCGTTGTAGGCCCATTTCGATGATTGCCATTTGAAATATGTTGTTTCGTAGCACTCTTGTCTTTAAAAGGTGTTTTTTTTTTGCACAGTGATGAATAATTCTATTTCTATTTCTCGGTCTGGCTTTTAATCTGTCGGCGTCGTACATAAATCACCAGGCCGACCCCCCGAGCGAGTGCGTTGTTCTTACTTGACGCTCGTCGTCTTCCTTTTGCGCCTTCAGATGCTATTCTGGCTGAGACGAGGCCGTCTAAGTTATCGATTGAAGTGCCGCCATCCATCCAGCCATCCTTCCATCCCTTGAGTGGCGTTATGTAACTCAGACGCCCCCCCCAAAAAAAAACATCCACAAAGTCATCGGAAGGGAGGACTAAGGGAATTTTGAGCAGAAGAAGGCCGTCCTGGGATCCACATACAGAAATATTATTGTAACATGATGCACAGTTTCTTCAATATGGGAAAATATAAAACTGCCATTTTGATAATGATTCGATTAAAAAGTATCGGGAATATGTTGAAAAAAAATGTAAATAAATAAAACAATCCGTTCTCATCGATGAAATGCAAAGGTATTGCTCTTAAAAGTTAAATACAACTGAAATGTACCCAAGCTTTACTGTTGCAGTTGTTTTGTTATTTTTTTCCATCAA